GGGCCGGAAAGGGCGGGGCCTGCTGTGCGCATGCGCCTGGCTCGAGGCTCCCGGCAAGGCGGAAGCGGAAGCGCGGGTGCCGGGGAGCGATGGCAGCCGGCGGTCTGAGCCGCTCGGAGCGCAAGGCTGCGGAGCGGGTCCGGAGGCTGCTGGAGGAGCAGCAGCGGGAGCGCCTCCGCCAGGTAGGCCACTGCCCGCGCCCTGCCCGGGGCCGGCCCCGCGCACCCCTCACCGCCTGCCTGCCTGCCCGCAGGTGTCCCGCATCCTGAGGAAGGCGGTGGCCGAGCGCAGCGCGGAGGAGGGCCGGCTGCTGGCCGAGAGCGAGGACCTGGTGACGGAGCTGCAGGGCCGGAGCCGGCGGCGCGAGGGCCTGAAGCGGCGCCAGGAGGAGGCGAGTCCCGCGGGCCGGACGGGCGCGGCGCTCCGAGGGCGTGCTCGGTGCCCTGGGCGGGCCGGGTCGTGCCACTCGCTCGGCCGGGCCCGCCGTCACCTCTCCTGAGGTGACAGCAAACGTGGATGTCGGCGTGGATCGTAGGAATACGAACACCTCGTAATCCTGGGCGTGCTTCGTGCCAGGCCGCGTCCTGAGCGCATCTCAGACGCATTTCTGCCGGAGCTGTCATCTACCCAGGATGGCTTGGCCCGGCTTTTTAAAGTCCCGGGGTGGGGGGCAGGAGCGAAGGATGGGGTCATGACCAGCCTCGGCGTCTTCGCAGGTGTGCGATGACCCAGAAGAGCTGCGGAGGAAAGTCAAGGAGCTGGCCAGCGCCGTCAGGAACTCCAAATACTTGGTTGTCTACACAGGCGCGGGGATCAGCACGGTAGGGAAGCATGACCAGCCGTGCCCCGGGTCGCCCCACGCCCTCCGGACTCTTCCTAGGCGTAAGCAGTTGTCCTCCAGTCGATTCCCACTCATAGGACTCTTCCTGGCCGCAGAGAAATTGAGACTGCGCGCTCCGTGGGTCACGTGGCTGCCGGTCCCCGGGTGGCCATGGGGCGCCCTCTTCTGGGTGATGCACCCCAGAAAAGAGTGCAGCACGGTAGACTGGGGAAGAGGACCCCAGTCAGGAGAAAACTCATCTTTAAAGCAGCTCTGAGATGTTTTCCTTTCTTAGAGAAACACAAACGACCCTATTTAACAGAGAGCATAAAACTGCCAACACTTTAAAGATGCTTGAACTCTGTGTTAACATCCAGTTAAAGACAGAAGCAAAGTAGAAGGAAGAGGGGGAAAACAGGTCATAACAACTTAGTGCTTGCAGGCACTTCCTCATTCGAAGTGAAGGAGGTTAACTGCTCGGCCCACGGCTATGTAGGCAGAGCTAGGCCTGCATCTGACTCCTGAATCCGGCTTCTTCATGATTTCTCCATGTTGGAGGAAGGTAAATAGTGAGACAGTAAGGATTCAAGTCCCTGTTTTATTGAGGAGCTGTGCGACATGACTAGTTTTGGAAGTGTGACTGGCACATATTCCCTCTAATATGAGGGTCCCACGTTGAGTGTCAGCCACCTGTGGCCCCACAGAGGTGAACACCAGCTGGTTCCTGTTGAGAGAAGCCTGTCGTTGACGATGACAAGGTGTGTAAGCAAACAGCTGTAACATGGAGCTGAATGTGCAAGGGCGCTGTGACAGAAATCCAGGTCCCGCGCTCTATAGGGTCAGGGAGTGGGGAAACTCAACTCGGGTTGGCTTTTGTGGGGAGGTGGCCTTGAACCGGGGTATCGAGAAGGTGGAAGGTTCTCGCTGCTCTAATCTCTGAGCACCTGGAGCCCAGGCAGTCAGCCCCCTCCCCGCCACAGTCACATGTACAGTCCAGTCATGTGGTAATTGAAAGACAGGAATGTGGCCTTTTGAAGAGCTGTCAGTGGTCCTAAAAGCCTGGTGCTGCTCATGAGTTTGACCAGAAGGCAGGTCCCTCAGCCCGGAGAGCACAGGCACCTGGGTCCTGGCAGCCGCCTTTGTCCTCATCTCTGGGATGGGCTTGTTTTCCTGGACTGGAAGCTTAGGAAACGAAGCAGCGTTTTGTCCGATCTGGAGAGATTGTCCTGGTTTTGTTAACTAGGACAGGAGCCTCTTAGAGATAAAAGGATCAGATGTAAGGATTTGGACAGAAGAGCCTTCCCACTTAGGGGTCCACCACTTGCTGGCGTTGCCTGAGCACTGGGCTCGACCCGGGGATACCCAGAAGAGCTGAGCAGTGCTCCCCGCTGTGTGGAGAGCAGACATGGCAATACCGCAGAGATTTGTGGGTGGTGCTAAGGGCTCCCAGAGCGGGTGGGCTCCTCCAGCCTCAAAGGATGAGCTGGGTATGGTGGGGAAGGGGCAGTCTAGGAAGCGGGGAGCCATGAGGGGTACACCCACCTCTGTTAGGCAGGTCAGGCACTGGGTCTGTAGTGGAACAGGCAGTCTTGGGCTGGCCCTGAGCAAGGCAGGAGGGGCGCCTGCTTTGTGTTCTCGGGAACTCAGCTATTCCCTAAAGAGAGACCCTTTTACCAGGCTTGTCTCCTTTCTGAACATGCAGGCAGCTTCCATCCCAGATTACCGGGGCCCCAACGGAGTGTGGACGCTGCTGCAGAAAGGGAGAAGCGTCAGGTAAGCAGGCCTTGGCCGCCTGCCCCGTCCTGGGGCCACTGATCAGAAGAGGAGGGTAGGGGCGGTGGGAGCCTGACCTCGCAGCACCCTCACCTCGCTCTCCCTCCCACCCGGCAGTGCCACTGACCTGAGTGAGGCCGACCCAACCCTCACCCACATGAGCATCGCCTGCCTGCACGAGCAGAAGCTGGTGAGCACACGGGCTGGGCACCACACAGAAGCCTGGGGTGGAGTGAGGCCCGTCCCGGCCGAGGCCCCTCTACTCTGATGGCTTTGGGCCCAGAGCTGCTGTGGCCCTTTGCCCTCATGCTCGCTTGCGTTACCCCTATAGACGTCAGATGCAGTCCTTGTCACGGGGTGGTTCACACTGAGTAGGGAGGGTGGGTTTGCCTGAGACTGGAGGGACCTGAGACAGTGACCCAAGAGTGGGTGCTTTGGGTGGAGCGGCCCCCCATCTGCCTCACCAGAGCCCCGAGTCCCTTCCCAGCTGAGAGGGGGGCTGCCAACGCTTTCCTCTCATTGGTGCCTGAGCTGTTAGGGGCCACAGAACTGGCCCAGACCACTGCCCCGCGGTAGAGCGACTCTCAGAGCCCGGGGCCGTCCCGGGTCCTGGAACTCTCAGGCGGCCGCAGCTCCCTGCCCCTGCTGACAGGCCCCCTGTCCTGCCAGGTGCGGCACGTGGTGTCTCAGAACTGCGACGGGCTCCACCTGCGGAGTGGGCTACCCCGCACGGCCATCTCTGAGCTGCACGGGAACATGTACATCGAGGTGTGCAGCCTGGGGGCGGGGTGCAAGGCTCCCTTATCCCGGCCCTTCCCACTCACGGGCACCCCCTTCACAGAGCACTCCCTGCTCACGGCCCCTTCCCCCTCATGCTCCTCCATGAGCTCCCCCTCACCGGACACCTTCCCCTTCATGAGACACTTCCCCCTGGGGGCCCCCCCTCACAGAGCCCCGCCCTCAGGTCTGCACCTCCTGCATCCCCAACCGGGAGTACGTGCGGGTGTTCGATGTGACGGAGCGCACTGCCCTGCACCGACACCAGACAGGCCGGGCCTGCCACAGGTGCGGGGCCCAGCTCCGCGACACCATCGTGCACTTTGGGGAACGGGGCACTCTGGGGCAGCCGCTGAACTGGGAGGCGGCCACCGCAGCTGCCAGCAAAGCAGACACAATCCTGTGCTTGGGCTCCAGCTTAAAGGTATGAGGCAGGTGGCAGTGCTGGAACAGATGGAGCCAGCGGGCCCGGCCCCTTCCCTCCCACACCATCCAGCCCCTGTAGCCCAGCTACAGCCTCCCTCCCTGTGTGTGTGTGTGTGTGTGTGTGTGTGTGTGTGTGTGTGCCCTGTCTGTCCCCACAGGTCCTGAAGAAGTACCCGCGCCTCTGGTGCATGACCAAGCCCCCCAGCCGACGGCCCAAGCTCTACATTGTGAACCTGCAGGTAACTTGGGCCCAGGGTACGCCTTAGGACGGGAGAGCCCGCAGGTCCTGTGTGGCCTGGGGGGTGGGGGTGGAGCGCTGACTGAGCGGGAAGGGGCCGAGGCTGCCAGGCCACTGGTGGAGGGGAGTGGACGTTGTGCTCACGCCCCTCTTCCCGCCTCAGTGGACACCCAAGGACGACTGGGCCACCCTGAAGCTGCACGGCAAGTGTGATGACGTCATGCAGCTCCTCATGGGCGACCTGGGCCTGGAGATCCCCACCTACAGCAGGTGAGCGGCACGCGGCCTGCCGTCCACGTGAACACTTGTGTCTGGTGGCGTGGCGCGTCACTCCTGTGGGCAGAGGGCTCTGCCAGCGCGTCCCTGCCCGACGTCCCCTCTGTCCCGGGTGCAATACCTGGTGGGAGGCACTCTGAAGGGCGTCTCGGCAGCTCTGGGCAGCACTCAGAGCGCTAGTGTTTGGGTGTTGGCATACCCGTGGGAGTGTAAACAATCAGCCTTAACACAGAATGTGTGATGATGTAGATGCGGTGTGTGTACTGAGTAAAAAGTTTACACTTTCTTTCTCTGTGAATTTTCAGGGTCTTTTAGGGGAAATCAATAACTTCTTTTAATCAAAGGGTTCAAGAAATTAAGGATTCCTTCATCTCTGGGCCTGGCAATTCTTGTATGTTATGTTTGTGGTGTTCTGTAACGTGGGCCTATTGTGTCCTGCACTTTTTGTTTTTACATTAACTTAGCTCATTTTCTTTATCAGTGCTTATCTGTATCTTACGTTTATGATATGTGGTTCTACATCTCAAATCAGACACATGATTTCCTCACAACGTGCTCCGTAGGCTGCGCCTCCCCGCCCCTCCCCGGCAGCTCCCGCACCGCCCGCAGTCTGGGAAGGGGGAACGAGTGAAAGGGGGCCCAGAGTCGCTAGTGCCTGACCCCGGAGGTGGAGGCGGCCCCGTGCACTGCGGCCCACCCTGTATGTGCACGGCCAACTCAGCGCAGTGCTGGCCTTTGAGTCACCGCTCACAGGGGCTGCCTCTTTTGCACTGCTCTTTAGCTACTGTTGACCACAGCCCAGCCAAGACAAAGGGTGGGGAGGTGGGGGGCAGGCGATCTCCGAAGTCAGCTTTCCCATCCTGGGGCAGGTGGGGCTGAGACGGGCTCTGGGCATGCCTGACGCAGCTTTCCCTTCCCGGTAGGTGGCAGGACCCCATCTTCTCCCTGGCGACCCCCCTGCGTGCTGGTGAAGAAGGTAGCCATAGCCAGAAGCCGCTATGCAGAAGCAGAGAAGAGCGGCCGGGTGACCAGGGTGCCCCGCCCGGCCCAGCCCCCATTTGCAGGGGCTGGTTGGGCAGGGGCTGCGCCAAGCGCACAAAGAGGAAAAGAGTCACGTAGCCTGGTGCTCAGAGACGAACACAAGTGGCACTTTGCAAATGGCCAGAACTCTTATTCAGGGTGAGGGTCACCGTGGAAGGTCTGGGTTGTTCCCCAGGTCTGGTGAGGAGAATCCTTGCGGGTGACGTTTTTAGCCATTTACCCGTCTCTGGGAAGCTGCATCTCCTGGCCCCTTGCACTGCTCTGGGTGTCCCCGACACGGGCTTGACTGTGGGGACCCCTCCCACCCCCTGGCCCCTAGGTCCAAGAAGAGAGGGTGTTTCACACCTGGCTGCCTTACCTCAGTCACCAGGATAGTCTCAGGAACCAGCCCTCTTTCTACTACTTCTCAAGAATTAACTTTCTAGGAACCCCTTCGGTTGGGTGTGTGGCAAGGGGATGGTTTCCAGCCCTGGCCCTCAGCAGCCCTTTTTATTGTTATTATTAAACATCTCTGCACTGTTCTCATCGTCACGAGTGACTGCTGCGCGGTGGCGGTGGACGCGGGCGCGGGAGGGACCTCGGGCGTGGACTGGCATGTGCCCGCTGTTTAAGCAGAACCCCTCCCTTGATGCGGACGGGGCCCAGCGGAGGCTCCTTGAGGAGGGGGTGGAGCACACGTCCCACGCCCGACTGCACCGGCCTCTGCCAGGTGCCCAGAGAGTTTGTTAGACGCGGAAGGTGTGCGGCGGCGGAGGAGGGAGGGGGTGAGGGGGACGGGGCTCCGATGAGGAGGAGCGCGCCATTGGCCGCGTACGGAGGGCCGGGTCTCCAGTGCACGGACGGCCTTCGCCATTGGCCCGGTGTGAAGGGCCGGGGCTCGCGCGGGTGCTGCGCGCCATTGGCCAGGCGCGGAGGAGGGGCGGGGGGGCGGTGCACACCATAGCCGGGGGGGGCGTGGGCGGGGCTGGGGAGGACGCTGCATGCCATTGGTAAGACTCGGAGGGGCGGGACCGGGGCTGGCGGCGCACACCATTGGCCAGGTGCGGATGGGTCGCCTGGGCGGGGCCTCCGGGCGGCGGGGCGGGGTCCAGGCGGGCGGTGCACACCGTTGGCCAAGCACAGGTGGGCCAGCGGGGCGGGGCCTCGGGCAGGCGGCGCTCGCCATTGGCCTCGCGCGGCGGGGTGAGGCCCGCGTGACGGCGGACGCGCGTGCGCGAGGCGGGCGGCGGGCGGTGGCGCGGTGGCTGAGTTGTCTGGACCGGCCAGGCCGAGACGCCGACGGGCCATGATCCGGAACGGGCACCGGGCAACAGGCGCCGAGGACCGGCCGGGCCCGGAGGGCCGGCGCGCCGTGCGGGTGTGGTGCGACGGCTGGTGAGCGCGGGAGCTGGGGCGACTCTGGGTCCCTGCGGCCTGGACCGGCCCGGCGACTCGGCCGGCGCCCTCCGGCGGCCCTCTGTCCTGTGGCCGGGCCTCTGGGAGGGAACGGCCGGCGCCCGAGTGATGCTGCGCCCAGGGCTCGTTCAAAGGAGAAGTCGTTAGGAGGGGCGCCGCGTCCGCGCGGCCCGTGTCCACGGCAGGGAGCTGGGCTCAGGGGCCCCGGCCAGGGGACAGCGGGACCCGCCTGGAGCCTGGACCCTGCTCTGAGCGGTCCCAGGACGCCGGGGTCAGCGCCAGGCGCTCCCTGAGGCCTCGGGGTGGGTGGCAGGCTCTTTGGAGGATTCTGATAGAAGCCTCTCATCCCTAGTCCTCTGCATGTTTGCCATTGAGGCCCGCAGCAAGTGACACAGCCAGACAGGCTCCTCGGGCCTGGGCCTGGCTCCACCTGCACGGGTAGGTGGGAAAGTTGTGTGACTCCAGGTCTCATTAGCTTGACTCTTCCCAGGCTATTAGGAGCATGTCCCGCTGAAGGAGCGGGCGCTGGAAAGCCCGGTGAAGGTGGAGTGTCCTCCCTGTTCTCCAAGCCCGACCTCTCAGCGTGCTCTAATGTGAGCGCAGCTCCTGCCCAGCACAGGCTGGACTCGGCCTCGGGATGTCGGGGCAAGGTTTAGGGCGGCAGAGCACCGCCACCCTCTCCGGGGTCCACCACAGGAGGCAGACAGCGCCAGCGCGCTTTCTTCTTGGACTGATTAGACATTAGCAGCCTTTTAGGAAGGTTTGGGTTGTCGAGAATAGTCAAAACTACTGATAATTTGCTATTTTTAATGATTCCCTATACCTTTTCTTAATGGGAGCAAAGAGAGAAACCGCCCTCTGGCTAGAAACTGGACAGCTGCAGAAAGACCCCCAGCCCCAGCCCAGGGCTTCAGGAGAGAGCGCCTTGCCCTGGCCGTGGCTTCATGGCAGTGGACTCTGACTCTGGCCAGCCCCCCTGACCCCAGGCAGGCCACAGCCACAAAGCCACAGCAGTGACCCACCCACATCCAGCCCCACTCGCATCCCATGCTGTGCTCCCCAGGCCCAGCTCTGACCCCTCCTGCTGCTCAGCCGTGTTCGTGGGCGCTTGGCCAGCCAGATCACCTGGGTCTGTTCTGCCCTCTGCCCCTAGACCAGAGCCCCATGAGCTGGCTGTCCCTGGCGTTGGTGGGGGCAGTGAGTGGGCTGGCTACGAACGCGGAATGTGGCCGTGCCTGGTGCCAACAGGGTCACCTGGATCATGCCACTCACCCTGTTTCCTTATGTGGAGAAAGGGCACAGCTTCTGCTCACCAGGCAGGGGTGCAGCCAGAGGAAGCAGCGCCCTAAGAGGGGCCTCAGATAAGTGTTGGGTCCTGATGCCCGACAGGAACCCAGAGGGTGTCAGTGGGTGCCACGTGTAGCCTTGCAGTTGAAAGTTCCCCTGTAAGCAGACCCTGAATTTGAGGACGAAGCTCTGGGGACAGGTGGCAGGCGAGGCAGTTGCTCATCCCAGAGAGGAGGCCCCGCTGAGTGTCTGGAACCAGCGGTTTCCAGGTCTTTGTCCTTTTTGTTGGGCTTTTTTTCAGTGTTGGTCCCAGGACCCGTCCGCTCATCTCGGGGTGGCACGAGATCCAAACCCTCCCCCAGCCCCAAACCTCCCGAGCAGTTTGTGTGTGGTGAGAGGAAGGACGTGGGCTGTGTACCCTCAGCGGCATCGGGTCCGCCCCCGCACTCCAGAGGGGTGGAGTCGGGGGCGTCCGCCTCTGCTCTGACCGCTCAGGCCCAGCCCCAGCTGAGGGACTAGGCTCGAGTCCCCAGAGGCCCTGGCTGGCTCACTGGCCTCCTGGGGCCATGCAGGGCTGACGGGCTCACCCTTCTCCACAGCTACGACATGGTGCATTACGGCCACTCGAACCAGCTGCGCCAGGCGCGGGCCATGGGCGACTACCTCATCGTGGGCGTGCACACCGATGGTGAGCCATGGTCGCTGGGCCGCACCCCCACCCCCACGCAGCTGCCAGGCTGCGTGGCCACGTGTGTAGTGACATTCAGGCTCGGTGCTGGGAAGGGGCTCCCCAGGGAGGTGCTGGGCCGGCCTGTGGATGGCCCGCCAGGGTCACGTCCCCTCCTTGTCCTTTCTCCCGGCTCAGAGGAGATCTCCAAGCACAAGGGCCCCCCCGTGTTCACCCAGGAGGAGAGGTACAAGATGGTGCAGGCCATCAAGTGGGTGGATGAGGTGGTGGCCGCAGCACCTTACATCACCACACTGCAAACGCTGGACAAGTACAACTGTGACTTCTGTGTTCACGGCAGTGAGTGGAGCTGGGCCCCGGGCCGTGGGAGGTCAAGCGGGCGTGGTGGGCGTGGGACCCAGCACCCGGGGGCCCCGGGGGTCCCTTCGAGGGTCCGAGGAGAGCTCTGGGTCCTTTCCCCAGAAGCGAGCCCCCACTGGGTAGGCCTGACGTGGGGGTCACGGGCCCCGAAACACCATCACCTCGGGTTGAGGGTCCCGCTCTATGTGCGCGGTGTCCGTAGACGACGTCTCGCTGACCGTGGACGGCCGGGACACCTACGAGGAGGTGAAGCGGGCGGGGAGGCACAGGTGAGCTCCCATTGGCCGGCCGGGTGCGCGCGCTCCGCTCCCGGGAGGGGCGGGACACGGACCGGAGGAGGCGCTTGTTCTGGATGTGGCCTTCGTGGCCCTTTCCACGAGGGGTGCCCCCGCCTCTGTGGCCACAGCGCTCCGGAGCAGCACTGTGTAGTAGAGCTTTCTGTGAGGACGGAATGTTCTAGATCTGTGCTGTCCAGGACAGTGGCTGCTCGCCACACGTGGCTGTTCAGCGGTGGGAACATGGCAGTGCGGCTGAGGAGAGGAACGTGTATTCTAGATGGTTCCAACCCAAAAGGCTGGTGTGGCCAGCGGCTCTGCATGGGCCAAGCAGCTCTGAGGCTGCCTCAGAGAGAGCCCAGCCCGGCAGGGTGGGGCCCGCTCCCTCGCACTGCAGCTGTGGGGTTCAGTCACACGGCGCCTCCCCCACATCCCTGGTATC